CTCGTTCACTGGACATAACAGGAGGGAAGCAAGGTTTCCTCGATTGTCGTTACACCAATCAACCAAACACATGGGCAGCCGCCTTCCTGAAAACTGCTGACAACAGAGCAAACAAACAAAAACAAGATCATTTAAGCTGGCCACGACCACTTGCATAGCACCACAATGTCTGCACGCAAAATCACATGACTGTACAGGGACGAACAAAAACCTGCGCAAAAACATGCATTTGTCGAATAACGAGTGACTCCTCTAGGACCAGATTTCATGACTTATTGTACCGCCCTCCCCTCCCTCACAGATGCATAAAGGGGCGTTAGGCAAACTGCGGCTCAACGGCATTTGAGCACCTTCAGTGCCAGACGCATCTCGCATAATTTTTTCTTTTACAGCCGTTTCGCGCCCGTCAAAAACATTATTTCTGGAGCTGGTACACCTCATATGCTACCGCATAAACATTAGGAGTTGTTTCTACATACAAGTATGTCAAAAATAACGTTAAAGAGATCCGCTAAGGGTCCATATATATGAAGCTCGAAGAAAGGCAAGCGGAGTCGAATGATTTTAGGGCTTATTCCACTGCTTTTACAAGAGATACTAGAACAGGAGTATCTTACGGCCATACCTGGCTAGAGGACGATTTTCTGTCGGCGGCGTAGGCGCCCTGGTAGAATTTTACGTGGTTGATTTACAGACTAAGTACACAAATTAATAAGTAAATAATTATCAGGTTAAACATGAATTCGGGAAAGAATGGAACGAAAGTTTGCAACCGCTAGGTGGAATGTCGGTCTCCCGTAAACGCTCATGACGCAGCGCCCTTATGGCATCGTCGTTCATTTCATGAAACTCATGGTACGGCACAAACCCCTTCATGCCGGAATTGTCATACTATACTTTTCTCTTCCGTTAAGGCTTTGATTACAGATTAGTGACATTTACAGAATGTAGCCACACATTTGCAGCCATAAAAATGACATTTATTAACTTCGGAAGGCGAGGACCCAATCAAAGTTCGAACTGACACCTCTTGGTTATGAGCCTGACCAGTAGACCCAGTCTCATAAATTCTAGCACACCTGATCAACGTGAATAATAATGCAGAATAATCTCAAATGAGCAATTTCTACTAGCAATGCATAACGGTATGCCCATAGACATATAAAAAAAATTTATCGCTTATCGTTCACTCCTGCAACTCCTTTAAATCAACTTTCTGAAATTTTAACATTACGGAAGTTTGCCACATTTACAGCGCCACTGTTTATGGTTATTTGCTTTGTAACCAGCTCTTTCGGCGAAACATAAACGGACGATTATTCACGAAGTAGCTGTTTACTCAGCAAATCCGGAAAAAACGTAAACATGAACTTTATACTTTATAGCGGAGCTAACAGCAAATCGACAGGGGAAAGGTTTAAGGTATACCATGCTTGAAAGCACGATGCAAAAAAAGCAAACATACGCAAAAAAGTACAAATCACATGCAAGCTAAAAAACAAGTATATAAACCTACTTTGACTGTAAAACGTTACCTGGTAAATTTTATCCGCCTCCATATCCTCCAAGCTTGGATAAAGTCGGGACATCGTGCGACGTCTATAAGTGGCTATTAGGTAAGCAAAAGCGTGCACATACAGAGTATATATACCCTTTGAAGACGATTGAAATGAAGATTTTAATTGCCGTGTACAGTAAGATTGATTTACTAAGTATTCTCAAGTTCATTTAATCTAAATCTATAATCGTTAAATTCCGTTAAACATTTTACCTTATTAATCGACAACGATAAAGAAGTTAAACAAGCGCAACCATTGTTGATTCTTGCAAAGAAATTTTCTTCCTTAGGCAACAACACAATTACAGTTTCCTACGATGGACAAACCGATCTCTTTGCATAGAAAAAGACTAGAAGAAATCGACCAATAAAAATATCTTGGCTTTACTATTACGATGGACGGCCGCTGCAATATTGAGGTTAATACAAGAATTTTAGCAAATTTCTTAGGCAGAAAACGGCCTGATGTCATCAGTGCATCAAGTTGATAACGAAAGTGGATACTTTCAAGTCGTCTCTCTTTACGACTGTATTTTACGGCTTGGAAGCGGCAACTTTTCAACAAAAACATGATCATCATTTAAACACCTTCCAACAACGCTGTCTATGCCATTTCAATTAGGTTTGTTAATTACAACGAGTGACTAACTATTGGGCACTAGCCGGATCCTAATAAAGAGAGTTATCTTCATAGACCCAGGAACGACGAATTTCACGGTTTGATAACAAAAGATGCAAGGACGAAATATTAGTCACTAAGAGAATTCTGTTATGGAATAAAAACCACGGGCTCCGCCGAATCGGCGATTAACAACTAATTTTGAAATATCTAAACGTAGCAGACCTGCAGTCACATAGGAACGTCATAGAGGGGTGGATGCGTCAAAACATGAATAAATTAAACCTTGCCCGTCGTCCAACAATTTTCATTTGATTGAGCATTACAGATATGAAGGACGTTTGGTCAGCGTTGATCCACGTGACAGATATGTTTGCTTGAGCAGCTTGTTTCATTCGGAGTTTCTGAGACCTACCTCCTGACTGAAAGGAAGGCGATAAAAAAATTGCCGGAAAGGGTGGCCAGTCACTCAACAGTCAACCTGTTTGTGATAAAATAAGTCAGTAAGTATGTCAGCAAAGCAATCAATCTCTTGCTATTCTCTCTGTTCGTTTGTGTGCCTATCAAGCAGTAAATTTAGTATGTCTCCCGTCGTTTCAGATCGCATAAGACAATATTGGCGATCATTGTGATGTTGCGGCAATATCCTAACATCAGTCATGAATTTAGTAGATCGCTCACTCCAAGTCATTCTGGATATTCCTTGGTACTTCCGCCTGCTGATTTGACGAGCAAAGGTTGCTTTGCCATCAGGTTTATTTGCCTTTGCAGGAAATTCCAGAGTTGATACCTGAGGAGCGTAAGAAACAACAGTTCTATTCAATGGTGAACAAGATTCACTGAGCTGCTAATTCTGCAGAAAATCAACATAATTTCTTCCATGCAGCTCGTCTGGTTTGCCGCTATCCGCAATCTGTGCGTTTCGCTGATGACTAACGAGAGTAAGAAATGATTTAATAATAATTAAGGAGTAAACAGAAGTATTATAAATAATCTAGCACTCACCATTTAAAAATATTCTGCGAGCATTACTATTTATTTGCTGTGATATTTCTGGTGTGTCCTTTCACATGCTAGAAAGGATAGAGATTTCTAGGGGATTTCTGAAAAGGCAAAATATACGACAAATATAATCAAGAGCAAAGTTATGAATTGAAAATCATTCAACTATGTAACCCTTTTAGATCTTGAGTCTGTTTTTAATTTGAATAGTTAATTGGCTAGCAGTACTTTTGTCGTATTGTAGAAGTAGTTTGATGAACAAATCTAACATTATTTTATTGCATCTTCCTGAAGAAAGCCATACATAGGATTCGTAGTGTCTTCCAAAAAGTTTCAAACGGAAGAGAGTATTGACTTAAACTTAAATTTTATAGTAATATACTGAACTAAATACGATTTTTGTACATATTCAATTGACAGTTAAAATAAATTATGACGGATTTTTGTTGTCAATATCATCTGGAATATCATGGTCGAGGCCAAAGTAACCAAATTAATGGTGTCTGGGATTAGACGGATTGACGATGATCCATAACTGTCAGATCCAGAGTAAAATCCACAACGATTCTACAGCAGCGCTACTCCGAGAGCTAAGGAATGGCAGAATTATGACCAGACGATCGTACGCAAAACACATGTGACACCTGATTCACTAAGAAGTAGCGCCGATGAAAATCAAACATCATTGCTGAACTTCCAACAAGGACCAGTGAGCCGCATACTACGGATCAGCGCGGGATAGAACATCGCTGAAAACCATACTATCTACTGGCAACTCAATAAAATAGTTCGAAAAGACGTGAATTCGAGAGAACGGAAGACAGTGAAAATTGTGGCAACCAAACAAACTAGCAGCAAAATCAACCGAAGGGAAGTGGCATGCATAAATGTCTGAGTTTATTGGCTGA